ACTCTGTCTCAAAAAAAAAAAAAAAAAAAGATCCTGTAGCCTTTTGCTATACTTTAATGTGCGCTTTTTTTTTCAAGAAGGTAGTTTTGCATTCAATGGGTGCAAGCTGAAGAGTGTTTCACATTTTTCTGTATATCCAAGGATCATCCAGTCATTCATATACCTTTTCCTCTCTGTGTTAGAAGGCAAGTGAGCATAAATTAGGTGACACAGGCCGGGCGCGGTGGCTCAAGCCTGTAATCCCAGCACTTTGGGAGGCCGAGGCGGGTGGATCACGAGGTCAAGAGATCGAGACCATCCTGGTCAACATAGTGAAACCCCGTCTCTACTAAAAATACAAAAATTAGCTGGGCATGGTGGCGCGTGCCTGTAATCCCAGCTACTCAGGATGCTGAGGCAGGAGAATTGCCTGAAGCCAGGAGGCGGAGGTTGCGGTGAGCTGAGATCGCGCCATTGCACTCCAGCCTGGGTAACAAGAGCGAAAACTCCGTCTCAAAAAAAAAAAAAAAAAAAAATTAGGTGACACATATCTGGAAATGGAGGATATGTTTGTGGAAATAGATTTTCGTGTAGGAGGGAAGATGAGACAGGTTTTTGAGAAGCTTGGACCCAGAAAGGTGATGCTATATGAGATGTCCTGTCTTCCCACTCTGGATTTATTCTTTTGACCTGCACTAGCAAATATAGTAGCCAGTAGTCACGTATGGTCATTCAATTAAAATTATGTAAATTGGGCTGGCACAGTGGACCCCAGCACTTTGGGAAGCCAAGGTGTGTGGATCACTTGAGGCCAGGAGTTCAAGGCTAGCCTGGCCAACACAGTGAAACCCCATCTCTACTAAAAATAGAAAAAATTAACCAGGTGTAGTGGTTCACACCTGTAATCCAAGCTACTTGGGAGGCAGGAGAATCGCTTAAACCCAGGAGGCGGAGGTTGCAGTGAGCCAAGATTGCACACTGTACTTCCACCTGGACGACTGCCAGACTCTTTTCTCAAAAAAAATGACAGTTTTCCAGTTGCTGCGTTTCTAGTGCTCAGTAGCCACATGTGCTAGTAGCTGCCATTGTTTTGGAGAGCAGATATTCCCATGATTGCAGAAAGTTCAAGGCGCTGGGATGGTCACTGTGAGGAGGTGCGTGCCACTCATACCTATGAGGCTAACCTTTCCTGTCTCTTGGCAGCTGACCAAGAATGGGACGGTGGAGTCGGTGGAGGCCGATGGTCTGACACTGGATGATGTATCAGATGAAGATATTGATGTGGAAAATGTGGAGGTGGATGATTACTTCTTCCTGCAGCCTTTGCCCACCAAACGGCGACGGGCTCTGCTGAGGGCTTCTGGGGTCCACCGCATTGATGCTGAAGAGAAGCAAGAACTTCGAGCCATCCGCCTGTCTCGGGAAGAATGTGGTTGTGACTGCCGACTGTATTGTGACCCAGAAGCGTGTGCCTGCAGCCAGGCTGGGATTAAATGCCAGGTCAGTCCAAGTTGGCCTGAGATAGTATATCTACACCAGGGTCAGCGGGGTGAGGTGTGGGTGCCACTGAACATAGCAGGCCCATTCAGGGATGGGTTTCCTATGGCTGTGAACACTCCCAGTTCCACAACCCTCCTCCATCAACAGAGTCAGCGAAGAGCACATGGCCAGGGACGGTGGCTCATGCCTCTAATCCTGGCTATCCAGGAGGCTAAGGTAGGAGGATCTCTTGAGTCCAGGAGGTTAAGGCTGCAGTGAGCTGAGTTCACAACAGTGCACTCCAGCCTGGGTGACAGAGACCCTGTCTCTTAAAAATTTTTTTTTTGAAAAGAAAACAAGCATGACAGGATTCTTAGGCTGTGGATGTATCTCTTATCTTTGTTTCATTTCTCGAGGTGATAATAAGCAGCTGTTAGCAAGGGGATGAAGAGGAGTTAGTACATTTAACATTTAGTAATTGTTTCCTAAATATTGACTGATTCCTTGAGATAAAAGGAAGCAGGGCTAAGTGCTATGGCTCACACCTATAATCCCAGCACTTTGGGAAGCCGACGCGGGCGGGCGGATTGCTTCCCAAGAGTTCGAGACCAGTCCAGGCAACATGGCTAAACCCCATCTCTACAAAAAATACAAAAATTAGCTGGGCGTGGTGGCCTGTAGTCCCAGCTACTTAGGAGGCTAAGATGGGAGGAGGATCACTTGAGCCTGGAGGCATAGGTTGCAGTGAGCTATGATCATGGCACTATACTCCAGCCTGGGCAACAGAGCAAGACCCCATCTCAAAAAAGAAGCAGAGAACTGAGGTAGGCCTACAGATTATATCTGTGAGCACTTAGTACCTTTACTCCAATTTTGAAGAATCAAAATAGTTTTCAGAGCTTTATAATTAAGGATCAGACCTGGCCTAACAGAGCTTAAAACCAGTTTCCTGAAAGAGAAAGTATCATCTCTTGTTGGCCCGCCCCCCCTTTTTTTTTTGAAGATGGAGTCTCGTTCTGTTGCATAGGCTGGAGTGCAGTGGCGAGATCTCAGCTTACTACAACCTCCGCCTCCCGAGTTCAAGCAATTCTCACACCTTAGCCTCCCAAGTAGATGGGATTGCAGGTGCGCACCACCATGCCTGGCTAATTTTTTGCATTTTTAGTAGAGACAAGGTTTCATTGTGTTGGCCAGGATGGTCTGGAACTCCTGACCTCAGGTGATTACTGCCTGCCTTGGCCTCCTGTAGTGCTGGGGTTACAGGGGTGAGCCACCATGCCTGGCCCCTTGTTGGCCTTCTGATGGGGGACAGTTTAAGACACATTTCAGCTGAAATTTTCAGCTGAAAATAGCAATACCGTCCCAAAGAAGGAAATTTATCTGGAACTTGATTACTGAGGGTGTAATACTGAGTCCTTGTGGTTGGTTTTCTCTTAACTCATCCTTTCCTTGTTTTTAGATTCGTAACAAATAGATATAGTAGATCTGGCTAAACACTGCTTTTCAGACTAAAGTCCCATACTGAGTTATTGTGTTACATACACACCTGAGAACAGTCCTAAGAATTGATGCAACTGGGCCTGGCATGGTAGCTCACACCTATAACCAGCAGTTTGGGAGGCTGGGCTGGAAGGATTGCTTGAGCCTAGGAGTTTGATGCTAGCCTGGGCAACATAGCAAGACCCTGTCTCTACAGAAAATTTTAGAGTTAGCTAGATGTAGCATGCCTGTAGTTCTAGCTACTCAAGAGGCTGAGGTGAAAAGGTCACTTGAGCCTAGGATTGCTCTAGGCTGCAGTGAGCCATGATGGTACCACTGCACTCCAGCCTGGGCAACAGAGCAAGACGCTATCTCCAAAGGGGAAAAAAGTGATATAACTGGAGTGGAGATTTCTTAAAAAAAAAGACATTGTGATTTGTACATGCTTATCTGCTTACTTGTGGTTTTAATTTTTCCTTTTATTTGTGGTTTATGTGTTTTCCGGTTTGGAATACGAAAGTGATAAGGAGGTAGAAAGCATCTCCTTTCCAGATTTCCCTGGTCTGTAAGTTAATTATCTTGGCAACTGCTTCAGAACTAAACTGGTCAACCCTCAGGGAAAATAAAGCAGGTAGCTAAACAACTGGCCAGTGTTTGAACCGGCATTCTAGCACCTTAGCAAACTAAGGCACATTTGCTTAGTTTCCCCAGAGTGTATTTCTTTGAAGTCACAAGATCTTCCACTCACTCTCCCATGCCTGTCATTGCAGAAGGCCGCAGGCTTGGGTCCAGCCTTTTGTTGTCTCAGTGAACCAGGTAAGTTCTGAAAGTCTCTGAGGTACATAAATTTCCTCTGTGAGAACAATCAGCATTCAGAGAAGTATCTCTGGACTCTAACTGGAAGGACCCTGTGATGTGATTTTTATCTACTTTTTATTTAGAAGAGGAAACAAAGCCCTAGAGAGATAAATGATTCTCTTGAGGTCACACCACTAATTAATGGCTGAGCTGGAATTGAAATGCAAGTGGTCTGATAACTACCATCTAGTGTTCTGTTAGCTCACACTGCATGTTATGCTTTGAATTGTTGCTTTTCTCTTTATAAGGAGACCTCAAATCCCAGCTGCCTGTTTGCCCGCTAATGTCTCCTATCTCCAGTTAGGACTGTTGGTCTCATCTTCCCCCCACCTCCTTGTCCCCTCTCAGGTGGATCGCATGTCCTTTCCGTGTGGCTGCTCCCGGGATGGCTGTGGGAACATGGCTGGGCGCATTGAATTTAATCCAATCCGGGTCCGGACTCATTATCTCCACACCATTATGAAGCTGGAGCTGGAGAGCAAGCGACAGGTGAGCCGCCCAGCAGCCCCAGATGAGGAGCCCTCCCCCACTGCCAGTTGCAGCCTGACTGGAGCACAGGGCTCTGAGACCCAGGACTTCCAGGAGTTCATTGCTGAGAATGAGACAGCAGTGATGCACCTGCAGAGTGCAGAGGAACTGGAGCGGCTCAAGGCAGAAGAAGATTCCAGCGGCTCTAGTGCCAGTCTGGACTCGAGCATCGAGAGCCTGGGTGTGTGCATCTTGGAGGAGCCCCTGGCTGTCCCCGAAGAGCTGTGCCCAGGCCTTACAGCCCCCATTCTCATCCAGGCTCAGCTGCCCCCAGGCTCCTCTGTCCTATGCTTTACCGAGAACTCAGACCACCCAACTGCCTCAACGGTGAATAGCCCATCCTACTTGAACAGTGGGCCCCTGGTCTATTATCAAGTGGAGCAGAGGCCAGTCTTGGGAGTGAAAGGAGAGCCTGGTACAGAAGAAGGCTCAGGCTCCTTCCCAAAGGAGAAGGATCTGAATGTCTTCTCTCTCCCTGTTACCTCACTGGTGGCTTGTAGCTCCACAGACCCAGCTGCCCTCTGTAAATCAGAGGTGGGGAAAACACCCACCCTAGAAGCGCTATTGCCCGAAGATTGTAACCCTGAGGATCCTGAAAATGAAGACTTCCGCCCTTCCTGGTCTCCCGCAAACCTCCCCTTCCGCACAGACAATGAAGAGGGCTGTGGGGTGGCGAAGACCTCTCAGCAGAATGAGGATCGGCCCCCTGAAGAGTCTTCCTTAGAACTCCCTCTGGCAGTGTGACAGGTCCTGGAGGTCCTGCCTCTTACCCATTCTCTATTTATTCCCTTATTTTATCTAACGCCATTTCAAAACAAAACTGTAGAAGCAGCTGCTGCTCCCATGTTGTTATTGGGGTCTTTGGGGAATGGGTGGGAAAGGATTGTTTGAGTATTTTTTAAAAGGGAAACAGTTCCAAGGAGACCAGCCCCAGCTTGACCTGGGGATAGTCTTGGGCAGAGAAGGCTGCATAGTGCTGAACACTGAGCTTTCTGGGCCACTGGAAGAAAGAACTAGGATCTCACAGAAGAAGCTGGGTAACTCAAGCAGCTCTTCTTTCTATAGGGACCAGAACACGAGATTTGAAGAGCATGGCAAAGCCCCTTCTCTCCCAAGCCCCAGCAGAGTACAAGCTCGTTTTTCTCAGTGGTTATTCCGATATCCCATTTTGGTATGTCATAATACTTCAACTGGAAAGTCACCTGGTCAAGTCTAGGGAGGAGGGAGTGGAAGGGTCTCTGCTTCTGTACAAAATCTCCAGGATTTACAAAAATTTAACCTGGTGTCCTTCAATCCCCTATTTGGTGAATAAGTTAATATTTGACATGTTTGGTGTTCTCTGACCTGTTCCCCACACTGGGGATTCCAGGTCTGTAACTTGAATTGCTTCTTCCACATGTTCTTTAGTACTAGAGTTCAACTTGTCTATGTGTCTTTTTTTCCCTCCATCCGTTTTCCTTTGGAGAAAAAAAGCTGGATTGGCTGGGGATGTGGTACAAAGAGCCTGAGCCTTCTGTACATGTCTGACACCAGCACTGTCGGGCAGCTTTAGGCTGGAGCTCACCCATCCCACAGGAGGCCTATGTGGAACATTAACTGTGGCCAAAGGAGGCAGCGGGAACAGGCTGCTTGCTATCTGGAAAGATGACTTATTTGTGCTGTGCTTGTTTTTTCACCCAGGTTTTTCCCTCTTTGTGAGATCTGAGCTTTAATGGAATGTAGGATGTGGCAATCTTAAAAGTCACCAACCGGTTTTTGTTCTTTTTTCCTGTACCTTCATGGTCCTTCTTCAACATAGCCGGTTAGAGAGTTCTTACACTGTTCCAGTTCAATTCCAAGAATTGCAAATGTAGGCCAGGCCTGGTGGCTCACGCCTGTAATCCAAGCACTTTGGAGGCCAAGGCAGGCGGATCACCTGAGGTCGGGAGTTCAAGACCAGCCTGACCAACATGGTGAAACCCTGTCTTTAAAAAAAAAAAAAAATTGCAAATGTTTATTGGACCCCTCCATCTTGATGATATGTAAAAATTTGAAGCCAAACCAGTTCTTAAATGCCACATGCAACTCCTAGATTCTAAAGGCTTCAAGTTCTAATTATAACCTTTGAAGTGTATAGAATGGAACTCATTCAGTTTGATTCAGTTCTTACCTCTGTCAGGGGAATACTGTTCCTATTCATCCTATGTTCTAAGATCTCCCCCACTGAATACCACTGATTCCTTTTATTAGCAAAGTGATCTCTGTCTCTGCTCTAAAATGGAGGGAGTAAGGAGCACAACTGTTCCTCTCAAGCATCCTTTACCCCATACTTCACTTCTGGTATGGTTTATTACCACAAAAGAAAACAGTGAAAAACTATGTGTTGTTGGGGGGAGACACTACTCCGACTTACCTTGCTCATAAAGCCTTTTCTGGTGGGATTTATTAAGGAGGCCCTGGTGTCCTACAGAAACCATCATGTATGTCGCAGCAGCATTTCACCCCCAAAGTCTCTAAACTCTGAGCCTGAAAGGATTTGTATTTAATACACATACATCTTTTAGTTAATTCTGCCTTTCCTATTCATTCCAGTTTTTGCTTGGTTTTATGTTTGGAGGGGACATAAGTACATAGGTCCTTATCTCTCCCCATCCCCTAGTCTCGTGAAACAGAGTTGAGAGTCTTCAGTACCTTAGATCTAGAAGCTCTCCAGAATTGAGCTATACTCCCCAACATTAGACTGGTACCCTCAAACGAAGCTTAATTGGAAATTTGGCTTTATGGAGAAAATAATCTTTTTCAAAGATTGTAAAGATTGTGTCGGAAGGGGAGGGTAAGGTCTGCACATTGCCTCTGCAGGAAGGCTCCGGTTTAGGAAGTAGATTCCAGCGGCACAATGAGGAACACATTAGCTTTTCGGATCAAACCAGGACTATGAATCTGTAATTATTAAGCTCATTGCCAACCCACAACATGTTTGATGTTTCTGAAAACCTGTAGTTTCTTCATCTAAGTCCATCCCTTCATTAACTCTACAGTTGTGACTCACACTGATCCCAAACTTTTGAGTGCTAAATATTAACATTTAGCATTAACTGTCTTGTCAAGCAAAAGGCTTCTACAACCTAGTCCATCTCACTTCTGGTGCTACCTGAGTTTGACAGAATTCTAGCTCATGGTTGCTAGGAAAGCTAGGCCTCTGGTCATAGAAGCAGATAGCTTCAGTCCCAGTCTAGGTCTAGATAAAAGAAATGACTCTTATCACAACGCTTATTATTTTCCAATCTCCTTTCTCACATACTGTACACAGGTAGTAGTTTCAATGTGAATCCAAAGCTTGTCTGGTTCTCTGAAAAAAATTTTTTTCCCCTTTAGGTTATTTACATTGTGATAATGCTGTATTTAAAGAGAATATTTAAATGTAATATTAAAGAAATAATCAAAAGAATGGTGTGTTACTCTGTCTTGGCAGGCCACAATTCAGTTACTTGTTAGAAAAAGGATGCTTCTCCAGCTTCGTTATAAAACTAATTAGGTCAGTTAGGAATTAATGTTAACAATAGAAACATTTTGTGATGGAAAAATAGAATATTCTCTTTGGAGCACCAAGAGGTGGACTCACTTCATCTGCCCTTGTGTACCTGTTCAGCTGAAGCAGGTCTTGCTCCTGTGTTGTTGGAGCTTTGCCCTATCCCTACTCTGGGCTCCCATTTTCTCATTCCATTAATTTTAGGAAATTCTTTTTTCCTTCTTATCACCTTAAAGTGTCCAGCAAGAAGATCAACTTCAAATCAGTTCCTGCAAAATTTCCATCAGAAGGTTATATTCCAACCAATTAAATCCCCATTTGTTAGGTTATGTCAGTCATGTAAAAGGAGACTCAGCAAAGTGATTAGAGTATGCATACGTCATTTCCATCGACAGGTTTCAAGCAGTCTTTACTTGGGTTTAAAAACAGTGCTTCATGCATTTACAATAAGTTATTACAGAACTATAAGCCACTGATGCACACACAAAAGCTAAACCTAACTTACTAACTTGATGCACACCTCTCCTGATCTCCTCAGGCTGGGCAGTAGTACATTACAGGTTTGATTCATGGCCCAAAGAAGGCAGCCACTGTCAGTTACAGTTGGATTGCTGTATCACAGTGGAGGCAGCAAATTGTTGATTACAGGGGCTGTAATACAGCCCAGAAAAGACAATGGAGAGTGAAGGCTTGAAACATTGGAAAGGGGTCAGGAAGCGCTTGTACTTCCTGTTATCTTTTCCAATAGAATATTCCTGCAAGTTACTCATCAAAAAAAAAGTCAGCCAGCCATGGTGCCTCACACCTGTAATCCCAGAACTTTTTGAGGCTGAGGCAGGTGGATCACCTGAGGTCAGGAGTTCAAGACCACACTGGCCAACATGGCAAAAAGCCATCTCTATTAAAATTACAAAAATTGGCCAGGCGTGGTGGTGGGTGCCTGTAATCCCAAATACTCAGGAGGCTGAGGCAGAGAGAACTGCTTAAAACCCAGGAGGCAGAGGTTGCAGTGAATTGAGATTGTGCCATTGCACTTTAGCCTGGGCGATACAGCAAGACTCTGTCTCAAAAAAATAAAAAGGTGTTGAAAGGGTTTGAAAAGGAAGTGATTAGCCCATGCCAGTGAGGCAGACAAAGAAAACAACTTGATTTTTGGTCATATCAGAAAGGATGGAGGGAAACACTGAAGTACAAGCATGGACACGAGTGCTCTAGCCAAAGAAGAGTTCTGGCTAGGCACAGATTCTTTAACAGCAACAACAAAAACCCACAGATGGAAGTAACAGGGAAGTGGATCAGCCCTAAGCCAAATAAGGATTCCCACCTGGGGCGAAAGCTGACTTCCTAGGATATGAACTGAACACACCACAGTAAAAGCCCAGCAGAGGCTGCTGCCAGTTCCAGCTATTAGTAATTATGAGGGGGACGGGATGACGCCTTCTATGGGCCACGCTTGACAAGAGGGTTTGTTTCAGTTCTCGCCATAAGCGGAATGTCTGCAGTTCCCACATATGTGCCATGCTGTGAAGCCCAAGGCACCTGCTCCTCTCTACGTCCCACACACTTAACAATGCACACAGACTTCACTAGCAAGTGCTGTTTGGTCCCGCACTGCTACACTATGTGACTGCAAGACAACGCCATCCACTCCATGGTTCACTCAGCGCCTTGTCCCAAGGTAGTTGGTGGAGAGCAGGACCACGTTGTGCAGCAAGAGAGACAGCTCAGCTTCTGAAAACACCACAGTGTTAGTGATTTGGCTTGGGAACACTCTGCCTTATAACTGCCTTGTTATATATGGCTTTAGCCTGCAGGCAGGAAGCCAAGTGCAGGGAGGGGTGGTATTAAGAAGCTGTTATTCTTGAAGTTCCCCTTCTTTGTTTCAGCCCCTGTAAGCATGCCTTCCTTTCCTTCTACTATATATTCCTGTTGACTCAACCTCTATTTCTCATGTGACTACAGTAGAAAATTCAGAGATGGTAATGGTACTAAGCTCTGGTCGCCTTGGAGTCTTCTGGTAGAATTTGGTGCTCTGGGGACACTTCTCAGCTTCAAGATTAGTAGGCCTACCCTAACATCCAAAGACCCAGAAAACATCAAGACCTAGGCTAAACAGGAACCAACAAACCTAATACCCTCAGATACTTTTTGTTTGGTCACCAGACTGTTTTTGTTTTGAGTTTGAATGCCTTTAGACCAATACTTCTGAACAGAGACAATCCTGCCTCTCTCCTCCCCACCCCCAGGACATTTGGCAATGTCTGGAGACATTTTGGTTGTGACAGCTGCAGGTGAAGGGGTGCTATTGGCATCTAGTGGGCAGAGGCTAGTGAAACTGCTATAATAAGTACCTATAAAGCACAGGACAGCCCCCCATAAGAAAGTGCCAAGGTTGGAAAATTGATTCACACGAGCATGCATTCACTCTTATGTTCCCACAGTCCCCACTACTCCCTCTTGTCCTACAGCCTACTTCATTACCTGCCCAGGCATGATAGGCATGTGAGTTTGTGCCCTTTCAATTAGACATAGATAGATAGATAGATAGATAGATAGATAGATAGATAGATAGATAAGGGTCTCATAATACTCAATAATTAACTTCAAAATGACCTCAGAATAAAATATAAAAGTGACTTGGATTTTAGTGGTATAACCACAGAAAAGTGTTTTACCTTTCAGGCTGCAGGAAATCTGCAGCCATTCTCCCAGCCAAGTTCGACACCTGTCTTCACCAATATGGGTAGAATTCAGGCCACGGAGATAACAAGCCTATACCACTCAGAAGAGAAATGGTCCTTAATAATCATTGAGTGAGTTGCCATGGAAATGGAAATCGACAAACAATCCTAAATCTCCTTTAAATAAATTACAATCTCATCCCCACATGAAGCCTTTCCTCATGGCAATTTGAAAACCAGTGATGGACAAGATGACAAGCAAAGAGTTCTATCTAATCTAAAACAGTAGGTCTAAACCGCAGTATCCTTGCTTTCTGAAGTGCCCGAAGAAAAGAAATGCAAACCAAAATTACTGTGGGCAATTCCTTCCCCCTAGTTAAGTTCATTGAGAAAAAAGACATAGAAATGAGGCAAGAAACTGGGCACAGTGGCTCATGCCTGCAATCCCAACACTTTGAAAGGCCGAGGTGGGAGGCTCGCCTGAGCCCAGGAGTTCAAGACCAGCCTGGGCAACACTCAGACCCTGTCTACAAAAATAAATTTTATTTATTTATTTATTTATTTATTTTATTATTATTTTTTTTTTTAGACAGTCTCACTCTATCACCCAGGTTGAAGTGCAGTAGTACAACCTTTGCTCACTGCAATCCACAGCCTGGGTTCATGCAATTCTTGTGTCTCAACCTCCCAAGTAGCTAGGATTACAGGCATGTGCTGCTGCTCCTGGCTAATTAAAAAATAATTTTTAAAAAGGCCAGGAGCAGTGGTTCACACCTATAATCCCAGCACATTGGGAGGCTGAGATGGGAGGGTCACTTGAGGCCAAGAGTTCGAGACCAGCTTGGTCAATATAGTGAGACCCCATCTCTACTAAAAAATAAATAGGCTGGGTGCAGCAGCTCACACCTGTACTCTCAGCACTTTGGAAGGCCAAGGTGGGTGGATCACTTGAGGCCAGGAGTTTGAGACCAGCCTGGCCAATATGGTGAAACCCCATCTCTATTAAAAATACAAAAATTAGCTGGGCATGGTGGCATGTGCCTGTAGTCCCAGCTACTCGGAGGCTAAGGCAGAAGAATCACCTGAACCAGGGAGGCGGAGGTTACAGTAAGCTGAGATCGTGCCACTGCACTCCAGCCAGGGCAAGGGCAAGAGTGAAACTCCATCTCAAACTCAAATTCAAACTCAAAAAAAAAGCAAGACAAGGATCCCCTGTAAATCTCCAGCCTGCTGTAGGCTCAGAAGTACACCAAGGGTTAAGGGTTGATGTCAAGCTCTTACCGATTTTACTTCCTCAGCAGTCAGCTGGCCAATCCCCAGCTTTGCCAAAGCCTGGTCCAGTTGGTGAATCACAGTTGTATGAGTCTTCAAACGATGTCTTAACAAGGGAGGCGGCAGGTAAGGTGTGAGAAGCATGGCTCGGCTCAAGGCTTTCTGTAACACAACCACATAGGAGGGGAAAGGCAAATAGAATGAGCTCAAGCAAAGATCTGAAACATGGTGAGGCTATGGAAAAGACAAGGCCTCAAAGTGCTCACCACGTGAAAAGCCTGGAGTTGGTTCATGCCCAGAGGATGGTTAGAGAAACACTCTCTCAGAGCCAAGATATCACGTATTGCTGGGTGGAAACCATGCTGTATCTTGGAAGAGGTAAGAGATTGGTAGATGTTAGGAAAGTCCTGACTACCCCTCTTACCTAGTTTTAGTGCACACTGATCTAACAAGATCCACGTTTGTAGGAAGGGTGAACTGCAGGAATACCTTGGTGCACAGATCTGTCAGATGCCACCGGAGTCCTGTATCAGAAATGAGAGGGATGACCTTTTCTAAATAACTAATGATTTCTGGGTGGGACTGCTTCCGGAAAGCATGATAGATATCTAAGAAATCAGTTTGCTGTTTTGGGGTCCAGAAATGCCTGATCAGTAGTTGCCTGGGAAACAGGTACCTGAAAGGAGAAAGAATCACACACTCACTTGCTGAAACTGGCTCCTTTCAGAGGAGACCAAAGAAAGCATTTGGTAGACATGAACACTAGGAAGAAGAGATAAGATACCATTTCCTACCTCAGTATTCTTTTTCTTTTTTAATTTTTTTTTCAAGAGACAGGGTCCCCTGTGTCACCCAGACTGGAGTGCAGTGGCATGATCACAGCTCACTGCAGCCTCAACCTCCTAGGCTCAAGCAATCCTCCCACCACAGCCTACTGAGTAGCTGGGACTACAGGCACAGGCCACCATACCCAGCTAGGTTTAAAATTTTTTTTGCAGAGACAAGGTCTGGCTATATTGCCCAGGGTGGTCTCAAACTTCTGGCCTCAAGCAATTTTCCTGCCTCAGTCTCCCAAAGTTCTAGGATTACTAGTAAGAGCCACCACAGTCAGCCCTTTTTCTTAAGTGACTCTCAGACCAAAGTTTGTAAGACACATTGAAGCACAATTTCAAGCAACATTACTGAAATGCGATGTGAAAGAAAGGACGAGTAGAATGGCCTGGCATGCAGCAATCAGATATAATGACTCCTTTTGAACTAAAGCATATGAAGAACATGCTTTGGACAGAGCGGCAGCCTGACCTGGACACTATATGTGATGCTGACAATCTAACTATAGTACAGTCCTTACGTATACACAGTATATAAAAGGCAATCAATTTGTTTGTCTGTTTTTGAGACGGAGTCTTGCTCTGTCACCCAGGCTGGAGTGCAGTGGCGTGATCTCAGTTCACTGCAACCTCCACCTCTTGGGTTGAAGCAATTCTACTGCCTCAGCCTCCAGAGTAGCTGGGATTACAGGCGGGTGCCACCACACCTGGCTAATTTTTTGTATTTTTGGTAGAGATAAGGTTTCATCATGTTAGCCAGGCTGGTCTCGATCTCCTGACCTTGGCCTCCCAAAGTGCTGGGATTACAGGCGTGAGCCACCACGTCCAGCCGCAATTTGTTTTTTAATTCATTTATTTCCATGTTTGGTTGTTTTAAAACATGACCACAAATTCTCTGGCACTCCTCTTATGGAGGGATGATGTCTACATCCTCCCTTTTTTTCAATCTAGGTGACTGATTCAGTCAACAGAACAGAGCAGCAGTGAGTCCATGTGACCTTCAAGACAAGGTTATAGAGTCACGTAGATTCTTATGCACTAGAACCCTCACTCTTGGAGCCCTGAGCTGCCATGTAAGAAGTCCCACTATCCTGAGGCTGCCATACTGAAGAAGCCACTTGTGGGCACTCTGGTTCATAGTTCTAGCCGTGTAGCCATCCCTGCCAGGGCACCAGACCTAAGAGTGACTTTGGACCTTCCAGACTAGTCCATTCAGCAGCTAAATATCACTAAAGAACTTCTGTCAACATTACATGGAAGAGAGAAGTCAATCGCCCACTTAGCATTGCCCAAATTCTTGACCTACAAAATCATGCAAATGATTTATACTACTGTTTTATGCTATTAAGTTTTGAGGTTATTTGTTATACAGCAATAGATAATTAATGACATGCAAGATCACAGTTTAGAAATGTCATTCTTGGTTATGAAGTAATAAGAACATGTTATCAGAATATGAAGTACACTTTTTTTCCATGGAAATTAGTCCAAAATTGCTCTCTCTTGGGGAGTGAGTTGCTGCCTCTATGGATAATGGAGAAGGTCATTATCTTATTTCACATCACTCAGGGCAGCTAAGAGATAGGGAGAGTCTAGGCCACCTGCACCTCTAGCTGAGATGTGTCCCAGTAACCAAGGTCTTCCTGAGTGGCTTTTAAGAACCTTGGGATAATGAGAAGACTGGAGGAGAAGTTTGATAACTTCTGAAATGAAAAGTTCTGCTTAAAATAATTCTTAATTTTTAAAAATTGATACATCTTCAAGATGTTGGGAAGATAGAAGTCTGTACTCACATTAGTAGGAAGACCAGGTAGTTGGCAAAAGGTGGAATGGAAATTATACCTAGGAAAAGACACTTGGTGACGTCTTGGCGGAACTAAGCAGAAATAAACACAGATGCAGTTTTAACCCAAATAAGTTATTAATACAATAGACAATCCCTCCACCCACCGTACAGTAAACTTCCATTACAGCCCAGAACAAGGACCAAATTTATTTCTTTTTTATTTTTTGAGACAGAGTCTTGTTCTGTCACCAGGCTGGAGTGCAGTGGTGTGATCCTGGCTCACTGCAACCTCCGCCTCCTGGGTTCAAGTGATCCTCCTGCCTCAGCCACCCAGGTAGCTGGGATTACAGGCTGGCACCACCACACCAGGCTAATTTTTGTATTTTTAGTAGAGATGGAGTTTTGCCATGTTGAACAAGCTGGTATCAGTCTCCTGAGCTCATGTGATCTGCCCACCTCGCCTCTCAAAGCGCTGGGATTATAATCATGAGCCACTGCACGTGGTCCCGAAGATTATTTCTAACTACTTCTGAATGGTTAGTTCCTTGAGGACAAAACCTCTGATTTGGTTACTTCTGTATCCCAAATAATGGTCAGTACAGACCCTGACATTATAGCAAATCTTTCAGCGAACTCTTCCTGATCTGCAGAATGGGTCCTAGATTCTTACTCTCAGCTTCAAAACTAGCCATCAAGTTACCACCTAATACTATTTTTGTGATGCCCTTTGAATCCTTGCAGACTTTTTTTTTTTTTTTTGAGATGGAGTTTTGCTCTTGTTGCCCAGGCTGGAGTGAAATGGCACAATCTTTGCTCACTGCAACCTCCACCTCCTAGGTTCAGGCAATTCTCCTGCCTCATCCTCCCGAGTCACTGGGATTACAGGCACCTGCCACCACACTCAGCTAATTTTTGTATTTTTAGTAGAGACGGGGTTTCAACATGTCGGCCAGGCTGGTCTCAAATTCCTGACCTCAGGTGATCCACCCACCTCGGCCTTCCAAAGCGCTGAGATTATAGGCGTGAGTCACCTTGCCCACCCGCTCTTGCAGACTTTCATATGTTCAAAAACTAACTGGATTTTAGTGTTCACAACTTTTGTTCATCAAGTATGCCAGAAATTCTATGGCGCTCTTGCTGTGGAAGGTTACAACTCTGGATGAACCCAATTCTTACAAATAATCTGATGCCTCATTCAGTTCAATATTTGGTTCTCATGGCAAAGGGCAAAAGTTTGATCAATCATGAACAAAGGAAAGAAAAAACCTTGAGATCTTGATTAAATGTAATTACCTCACCATGAGCTTCTGGATATCTGCCCCTGGCCCATACCTGTCTCAAATGCTCCATCTCCCGGTACGGAAGTTGATGAAACTCTATATTGTGATTCCACATGTTTGTCTTTATTCTTCTAGCCTTTTTGGCATCAGCCCATAACATCCGAAATCCTGCCTCATTAAAGTAGAGGACAGAGTGTGATGTTATCCCAGTTTGAATCTTAACCACAGCTTCCTACTCCATGTTCAATCACATGCAAACACTCTTGCCCCTCCTCAACAATAGAAACTAGGTAACTTGAAACTCTTGAGATTAACCCAAATCTCTTTTCAAACCTTTTTCCCCTAGCACATCGCCTCTCTTCTAGCTAAATTGGGCTTCCGTAATCTGCTATAGAATGGTCTCCCTCTTCAGTTTCATTGCTCAATCCTTTTTATTTTTTTGTTTATTTATTTATTTATTTATTTATTTTGAGACACAGTCTCACTCTTGTTACCCAGGCTGGAGTGCAATGGCCCGATCTCGGCTCACTGCAACCTCCGCATCCTGGGTTCAGGCAATTCTCCTGCCTCAGCCTCCTGAGTAGCTGGGATTACAGGCACACGCCACCATGCCCAGCTGAATTTTTGTATTTTTTAGTAGAGACGGGGTTTCACCATGTTGACCAGGATGGTCTCGATCTCTTGACCTCGTGATCCACCCGCCTCGGCCTCCCAAAGTGCTGGGATTACAGGCGTGCGCCACCGTGCCCGGCCTCATCAATCCTTTTTAAAAACCAAGCTCCCTAACCTCAGAAAGTCTTGCTAAATTAACCCTTTGTATTCCCCGGCCAGATATTAGTTATCTCCTTTCTGGAACTTTTTTTGTTTTTTTTTTTTTGAGATGAAATCTCACTCTGTTGCCCAGGCTGGAGTGCAGTGGTGTGATTTTGCCTCACTGCAACCTCCACCTCCCAGGTTTATGCAATTCTTCTGCCTCAGCCTCCCAAGAAGCTGGGATTACAGGCAGGTGCCATCAAGCCTGGCTAATTTTTTATTGTTAGTAGAGGTGGGGTTTCACCATGTGATCAGGCTGGTCTCAAACTCCTGACCTCAAGCGATCCACCTGCCTTAGCCTCCCAAAGTGCTAGAATTACAGGCATGAGCCCCTGCGCCCAACCTGAAACACTTTTTTTTTTTTTTTTTGAGATGGAGTCTTGCTCTGTCGCTCAGGCTGGAGTGCAGTGGTGCTATCTCGGCTCACCACAACCTCTGCCTCCCAGGTTCAACCGATTCTCCTGCCTCAGCCTCCTGAGTAGCTGGGACTACAGGTGTCTGCCACCACACCCAGCTAATTTTTATATTTTTAGTACAGATGGAGTTTCACCACGATGGCCAGGCTGATCTCGAATTCCTGACCTCATGATCCACCCAACTCAGCCTCCCAAAGTGCTGGGATTACAGGCATGAGCCACCGTGCTCAGCCAGGAACATTTTTTATTTTATTTTATTTTTCTGAGACAGAGTCTTGCTCTGTCGCCAGGCACCAGGCTGGAGTATAGTGGCGCAATCTCGGCTCACTGCAACCTCCATCTCCCAGGTTCAAGCAATTCTCCTGCCTCAGCCTCCTGAGTAGCTGGGACTACAGGCGCACACCACCACGCCCAGCTAATTTTTGTATTTTTAGTAGAGACAGGGTTTCACCATGTTGCCAGGATGGGCTCAGTCTCTTAACCTTGTGATCCACCCGTCTCGGCCTCCCAAAGTGCTGGGATTACAGGCGTAAGCCACCGCGCCCAGCCAGGAACACTTTTTAAAGTAATCTAATTCAATATATTTCTATGATTATATTTTAAATCTTCATTCTATGAAAATTCTTGCATCTATTTTGAAGGCTTACATATTTATCAATGATCTACATGTCATTACATGATGTCTCAATTGTCTTCAAAATAATACATAAGGCAAGTATATAAATGAAGATTGGCAGCCATGAGTTATGATAATGAAGTGAGGTGAATACATGGAACTTTGTTACACTGTTCTCTCTACATTTGTGTATGTTTAAAAATTTCCATAATAAAAGGTTTAAAAACAAACACAAATGCTTTCATCTCTTTCTTTCATTTGATTCTATTTATCTACATGGGAACAGAAAAAGCAGCCAATTTTATCTCCACTTTACAGATTAAGGATAAGTAATTTCTCAAGTCCATGAAGCTAGTAATAATTATGATAATGTTCAGAGTTGACAGTGAAGTACAGTGTTATGATAAAAGCATAGAGCATATTATAGGTTGGTGCAAAAGCAATTTCGGTTTTTGCCATTGAAAGACAAAAGCCCCAATTACTTTTGTACCAATCTACAATATTGTTATCTAACATTTAGATAACAATAACTAACATTTATTTGGCACTTACTAGGGATCAGGACCTGTTCCATGTACTTTACATGTGTTGAGTTTTTTATCTTCACAACCATGTGGTAAATAGGTAGGTTCTTTAACTCCCATTTTACAGATAAGAAAACCAAGGAACAGAGAAGTTAATTAATTAGTCCAATCACACAGTGATGAGCTGGGATTTGATTCAGACAATCTGGCTCCAGAGTAGACACCTGGTACTAGACATATCATCTCCTAGTAACTAAGGATCTCTGATTTGAAACAAAACATTTAGAAACCAAGTATTATGCAGTGCTATTTCCACTACAACATGCTACCTAATATAGATTCGTAACAAGGGTTAGACCTCATTTTCCTATGGGTCACAGAAAATCAATCACAGGACAGGTCTGTACAGCCATAGATTCCTGCTCTGTGCTGGACAAAAAAATTTCTACTATAGCCAGGTGTGTGGTTAAGAAAAGTATGAGAACATACCTATATTCTCCCCCCATCATGCTGCTGTCATAAGTTGTTTCTCGTAACATCTTTATAGAAACATTCTCAAGAAGCGCTAATTTATAAGAATTAGTTTAAGGCACAAGCATTTATGAAATATAAGATATCTCGGCTCACATCCCCATAGCAGAAACTGCAAATGATCTTATTTATGCGAACTCTCTGATCCTGCCCAAGAGCTGATTCAGGAATTTCTATTATGGTTTCGTTTTTACCTTTCGTGAAGATTGTGTACAGGACATAGAAGCGGGGGAAATGACGACCCAAGAAACGATGGTATTTCCCATTAATCGCTTTTGTCTTGGTCACCACATAAGATATCAAGTTCTTCACATCTGCCTTTGGAGAAAGGTGAAGCTTTGAAGACCTACAAGGAAGATCAAAGAGACTATCTGGGAACCAGTTCTAGAAGCTCCCTCACGCCTTTAGTCCCTAATGTACAGCAGGAGTCTCGGAGAATGTACGCCAAGGCTTGACACTTCTGAAATCCAAGGAAGATCTTGGGGTCAAGAAGAGATAGGCAATCAGACTGAGAAACAAAGATCAAGCAAAGGCCAGGCAGGAAAGGAACTCAGGGTATGACTCTGGAGACAGCGCAATGCTTGTGGGACAATTTGAACTGCAGGCTAAGTCAGAGAGAGGTGGAATCGAGATAGAGGCAAAACCTGAGCCGAAAAAGTGAGGCTGAAAGATGAGCTCAGGACACGCGGGGAGACCAGACAATATGGGGCACTGACAGTAGAGAGGGCCAGGAAGCCAGATCACTAGTGAGGATCGGAGTTTGAATCCTGAGCAGAAGAATAAAAATTTCAGGGCCAAGGCGTGGAACTCTGAGAATTAAGAGACAGGATGCAAGCAAGGTTCAGACACTGAGAGCCTGGACGTCAAAAATGCTTTTCTCGCTACAGGTCCCTCACCGAGGGCCCCCCCAAGCCAGGCCAGAGCGACCAAGTTGCAGCCTCCGGGTGACAAAATGTCCAGGGGTGACTGCTGAACCCCACACAGCAGCCCGAGCCCAGCACACCCTGGAGAGCGCCATCTTGACAGCGAGGGAAGGGGGAGAGGGGAGGTTGCTTTCGGGTCAAAGTTAACCGTATGTCGCGTTCGTTCGAAGACGCATGCGCCTTTTCTCAGCGCTGATTGGTAGCCTTAGTCTCCTTGGCTCCAACACAAGCCAGGAGAGGAAGGACTCAAAGACTAAGTGCTAAAGGAGGGCCAGGATTGGACACAGCAGTACTTCCTGGTTTAAAGGCGCCGGAAACAGGCTGTCCCCGAGGGAGCGAGTTCTTATACCACTGGTGTGGGTTTGCAATGCTGAGGACGCCCTCTCCTTGAGGGCCCAGTGACCCTCCGCGATTCCCTAGGGCCTCATGGCGTCCCAGCGCCGCCCTTGCCCTCTTCCTGGACGCGGGGCGTCGGGGCCTCGACTGTTAGGTACCAGATGTCAGTTTGGCAGTGCCTGGGGCCATGGCGCCTCCTGGGGGCTGGGAGGACCCGCGGCGCCCTCTAATGGTGGCGGCGTGGATAGGCCGGGAACTGTCCACTTTCCAGTCACAGTCTGGCAACGAAAGTTGGACGCCTGGGAGCGGCGCCTGTGCAGACTAAGTAGTACACTTTTTCCTTTCTTTGTCGTTTCCAGAACTAAGTTTGTGGGAAAATGGTTTTCGTTAAGCGGCTACCGAAGACCAAGCTCTGTGTCAAATGTTACTTTTCTGAGAGGATTTCTCTGACCACCCTGTCTGAAGTAGTGCCACCAAAAAAGGACACACTTCACACTTATTCTAATGTTACTCTCTCTCTCTGTTTTTTTTTTTGTTGTTGTTTGTTTGTTTTTTTGTTGTTTTTTTGTTTTCCTTTTCTGGGACAGAATCTCGCTCTGTCGCCCAGGCTCGAGTGCAGTGGCGCGATCTTGGTTCACTGCAACCTCCGCCTCCCAGGTTCAAGCGATTCTCCTGTCTCAGCCTCCCCAGTAGCTGGGACTACAGGTGTGTGCCACCACATGCGGCTAATTTTTTGTATTTTAGTAGAGACAGGGTTTCACCATGTTGGCCAGGATTGTCTTAATATCCTGACTTTGTGATCCATCCGCCTCGGCCTCCCGGAGTGCTGGGATTACAGGCATAAGCCACAACTCCCGGCCTTATATTTTGTTTATAACATCTATCACTAATAGTGTTTATATATTTGTGTCCTTGTTTGATGACTCCCTGAACTAGAATGAGGGTAAGCATCTTCTCTGCCTTCTTCATTGCTGCACCTCCAACACTTAAGTGCCATAATTAGCACATAGTAGGTGCCCAATAAACATTTTTGAATAAATAATTGAAACTAAGAAGGATTCCCAGAAGTGATACTCAACTGCCTCCAAGAGTTAGCAGTCCTCCTGGATGTATATGAATATTCAATCTTCATGGAGGGTGGTAGAGCATCCCAGGTGGGTTCCCTGGATGTAGGTTCAATCTTTGGCACTGCCATTTCTTTTCGTGAATGTTACCTTGGATATGTCACTTTAGTTCTGAGTTTATTTCCCTTATAATAGTACCTATTTTATAAGAATTCTGTGAGGCTCCAAAGAGAATACAGCTGTGAAAGCTCCCACATCTGTATAATGCCTCATGGGTCACACAGCTTTATATTAGCACAGGTTATTAATGACTGTACCACTCGTGCAGTCAGAGGAAAAGTTTTCCTGTCTTTTTTTTTTTTTTTTTTTTTGAGACGGAGTTTCGCTCTTGTTACCTAGGCTAGAGTGCAATGGCGCGATCTCGGCTCACCGCAACCTCCGCCTCCTGGGTTCAGGCGATTCTCCTGCCTCAGCCTCCTGAGTAGCTGGGATTACAGGCACGTGCCACCATGCCCAGCTAATTTTTTTGTATTTTTAGTAGAGACGGGGTTTCACCATGTTGACCAGGATGGTCTCGATCTCTTGACCTCGTGATCCACCCGCCTCGGCCTCCCAAAGTGCTGGGATTACAGGCTTGAGCCACCGCGCCCGGCAGAGGAAAAGTTTTAAAACATGGTCCTGAATCCTCACGAGTGTTGGGTAGATGGGGTGGATGGGATAAAAAGTTGACTAAGACAGCTGGCCGAGGCGACTCACACCTGTAATCCCAGCACTTTGGGAAGTGAGTGGGTGGATCACCTGAGGTGAGGAGTTCAAGACCAGCCTGGCCAACATGGTGAAACCTCGTCTCTACTAAAAATACAAAAATTAGGTAGGCATGGTGGCAGGTGCCTGTAATCTCATCTAATCAGGAGGCTGAGGCAGGAGAATCGCTTTAACCCGGGGGGCAGAGGTTGTGGTGAGCTGAGATTGCGCCACTGTACTCCAGCCTGGGCAACAGAGTGAGATTCTGTCTCAAAAAAAAAAAAGAAGAAAAGAAAGTTGACTAAGACATGGTCTCCATATTCAGGTAGTTTTGTTTTGAGACAGAGTCTCACTCTGTCGCCCAGGCTGGAGTGCAGTGGCTCAATCTCAGCTCACTGCAACCTCCACCTCCCAGATTCAAGTAATTCTCCTGCCTCAGCCTCCCAAGTAGCTGGGATTACAGGCGCCTGCCACCACACCCGGCTAATTTTTGTATTTCTAGTAGAGACGGGGTTTCACCATGTTGGGCAGGCTGGTCTTAAACTCCTGAACTCAGGTGATCTGCCCAGTTCAACCTCCCAAAGTTCTGGGATTACAGGCGTGAGACACTGTGCCTGGCCATATTCAGGCAGTTTCTGAGTCATGTCAACTACTCAACAATATTCAGCTCTAAAATTCCAGAACTCTCTTAGAAAGAAGGAGAGAAAATCAGTTTTGTGGAGAAAATAGGAAGGAACTGTGTCTGGAAGGATGGAGTAGAGGGGAAGGCATTTCATGCAATGAAAGAATGTGGCAGGAACACATGTCATTCCTCAGACTTTTTAATTTATTTATTATTTTCTTTTCGAAACAGGGTCTTGCCGTGTCGCCCAGGCTAGAGTACAGTAGTGCCGTCATGGCTCATTGCAGCCTTGATTTCCAGGGCTCAAGTGATCCTCTCACCTCAGCCTCCTGAGTAGCTAGGATTACAGACACGCATCACCACGCCCAGCTAATTTTTGTATTTTTAGTAGAGATAGGGTTTTTCCCTGTTAGCCAGGCTGGTCTTGAACTTCTGGACTCAAGCAATCCACCTGCCTTGATCTCCCAAAGTGCTGTGATTACAGACGTGAGCCACTGCACGCAGCCCTTTCCTCAG